CTTCATCCCCCCGGGATGCTCCCCTCGGGGTCACACGCAGGCGGGGGGAAGGTGCCGGGGTGAAGCCACACGGCGTCCTGGGGGCCCTCCCGAAGGAGGAGGCTGGGAAAGCCCCAGGGCGAAGCTCCAGACCTGCTGGTCACTCCTTGTCACTTGTCGCGGGCTCTAAAGTCGGAGACCTGCAAAGCCCCTCGGTTTGGAGCCGCCCAGGTTCACGCTGCCGGGTCCAGTGCAAAGCCCGTGGAAACACTTCCATCCTGGGACACCTGCATCCCCCGGGCTGCCCTTTGGGGTGTCCCTTTGGGGATGGAGCCCTGCTGCTCCTCCTCCTCTCTGCGTGCACCTTCAGCATCCCTGGGGCCACAGCGCCGGGCAGGGCTGAGATGCCCAGAGCAGGAACGAGCCAGTTTCCCTGGGGATCACACCCTTGGAGTGCTCTCTGTTGAGATATTTTAGGAGGGCTTCCGTGGGCTTTTCGAGTGTTTCTCCAAACAGGCTGCGTGTCCGCTCTGACGTGGCTTGTCATCAGGGTGGTGTGTGACTGCAAAGGTCTCTGCCCTACATAGGTTTTACAAGGCTTCCCAATGTACAGAGGGATACAGGCTGCCTTTGCTGTGCTGGTGCTAATTGCAGCCCCCTGACAGGAATGTAAATGCAGTTCCTTAGCACATTCTTATCTCAGCATGTGTGGGATTTGCATATATAACTCCTATTAATGCTAATGGCAGCTATATACATAATTCTCTTCGCATAGGGCTGACACTATATTTTTATCTGAACTTGATGCAACTGGAACCAGCCATCTTACATAAGTAGAAAAATCTGTAGTTTCTTACTGGAAGCTTTCTTAACTTTTTTGGTTCATTGAAAATGTAGGGAGGAGATGCAAGCAAAGGAAGCAATGCAAAACTTTTTGTTGTGATACTGGCCTGGAAGGTTCATAACATTGATCTAAAAAGTGGTGTGTGTTCCAAAGGATCATCAGTGAACATGACCCTCTTTCACAGGATTTATTTTTTGACACAATTTTTATAGTTATTTTTTGGGGAGGGCTGTTTAATTATTGGGGGTTTTTGTTTGTTTGTTTGTTTTTAAATCAGAAATCAAGATTGGTGGTACCTGATTAACTTGTTAATATAGAAACAACCAGCTTTTAATGTGTAGGTGTGTTTAAAGGTTTATTTGCAGTATTACTACTTAGAAAATAAGAGTTACTTTTTTAAAAAAAATTCAGGGCTATTGTCAGTTCATCATTATGAATCTCTGACAAAAGAGGGATGTTGTGCATTGTGCTGCTCCTGAAGCCAGAAAGCACTCTGAAAGGATATTGTGGCTGATATCTCCACCTATTAAGTGTGCTTTCACTGGTTAGCAAACTCCCTCAACCTTCTGTTAGTAACAGCTAAAGTTTTGTGTCTCTTCTTGTTTCTGAAGCTTTTTCTTTTATTTTGTAAAAAAAACCAAACATGGTGTGTGGATGGGAAATGGCAGCTTCTCCTGCCAGATACATGACCCCCTGCTGTGGCTGCACTCAGCTTGTCCCCTCAAAATTGAATTATGTAATGCCTGCTTTGAAGGTGGAGGGGCTTACCATGAACTGATATGAATTGTCAGAAATCTGTTGAGAATTTGCATCACCTGAAGCTGTTCTAGCCCTTCCCCCCCATTTATATTTGCATGTTACGTTTATTCCACATGAACGAACGAGCGCAACTCACATTGTACCAAGTAGAAAACAGGCATTTATTGAAACAGGACTGTATTTAAACTGTAGACAGGATCTGTAGGCAGATCCTTAAGTTCTCCTCTCTGCTGTGCTGTGGTAGCTGTTGTTAGACAAGACTGCTGAATGATTGCCCTGTTAGTTTAAGAGAAGCTAAGGGAATCATGATAGGATGTCCACGGTAGGGACCATCTTCTAAAGAAGTTGTTACTTTCCAAGGCACGACAGAGACATTGAGGATACACTAGTTATTTTAAAGGTTGTCTCTGTTTTCACAGGATTCTAGTCTTATCATTTTTTTTCCCTAATGTTTTGGCTAACGTTGGATTTTTTATCATTCAACTGGGTAGTTACAGAGCACTGTGCATACGCTGGAAGGCTGTTCTGACGAGTGCAGCTTATGTGCTGAAGTAAATGTTAAAACCATAGAGACAGTTAGAGATAACAGAAGAATAACATTTTGATGGCTCATTTATAATCTTGGGAAAAAGAGTTCAGTATCAGCATATCATTATGGAGAATGCACCGGGGTGCTGTAGTGTAAATCCTTGCAGTGGAGGAGTAAGGGTTTTATATTTCTGTGCCACTGACTGCAAGAGAAATGGATCTGTTCCTTTCAACCTGAGAAATTTAAAGTTTTGGGTAGTGTGTGAAAAATATAAATATTTCTCAGAGATTTAGTAGCAAGAAGCGATACATAAACTTGCATTGCTGCACAGAAATAACATTTTGTAAACATGAATCTTGAATGTAAAAAAAACTGAGAGACAGCAAAGGCAAACTTTAAGCATTTGTTATCAGAAAAAAAATAATCTGAGTAGGCAGTACTGGCAGTGTAGACTTGTAAAAACAGTCATAGTGCCTTTGTATTTGGAAGAACTGAAAAGACCTCATATTTATTTAGTGAATATTTTCCAAAGGACCATTACTAAGTTAGTTTCTCTAAGGAACAGGATCCTAATAAACAAACATTCAAATTGCATGCTATTAGGAATAAAATACATAATCCAGATTTGAATCCCAGATGGAGATGAGAACCTTTTGCTTTTGTACATTCTGTGAAACTCATTCTGTAACCTCAAAATACCATTAAAAAATGGAAGGAACCCAATCACAGTGATTAAAACCCCAGAACCTAATTAAAATACTGTACCTGGTTGACTCATCTTTGTGCTGGCTGTCTAAACCTGACCTTGGAGTGTGATGGGGGAAAAATCATGTGGGAAGGCATACGTTAGCCAGAAGGAACAAGGAAATGAGTTCACTGGATGTTGTTTAATCAAAATTTTTCTTTACTCTTTTTGGGGAAGACCTATAATTTGCAGAGAACCTAGACACTGTACTTTCCAGAGCATTCAGTGGGATAATTTAACATTAAAGGCTGGTTTGTAAGAAAATACTTTTCTTTTTTTTTTTTTTTTTTTCATTTAACGAATCATATTTTAAAGGATCATAAGGTTTAAATATAAATGCTGTTCACACTGGATTTTATGATAATTTTTTCATAAATGTCTTGTTTTTCTGGTCTAGTTAGTGAAAGCAAAAATGTTGGAAAATTTCACATTTCAAGTAAAAAGTAGTAAAAATTTCAAGGACTGAGATTCCTGTTAATTGAGTATTTCTATCCCTCTCATTGCATTAGAAGTGTAACTTTAGACTTTGTGTTCAGGTCTGGATATCGAAGAGCCCACGGAGCTAGAATTTGGAGCATGCACAGTTACATGTGGTAAGTAGCAGAGCAGATGAATAAAACATATTGTCATTTGGGTTTTTTTGGGAAAAAAAAAAAAAAGTGCTAACTGTAGCAATTTAGCAGTTGTAATTTGCTTGCCCTTGTTCACCTCTCATTGATTTCAATTGTCAATAATCATAATTAACAAAAACAATCAGGCTGATTGTCATTAGGATCTTGGGTCAGATCTGTTGTTTTATTAATTTCACAGCCTGCAAGCTCCTATTTTAAGCCAATTCCCTACGTTTGTTGGCACATGAACTGCTTTCCCCAAAGTAACAATTTTCGTTATTTGTGAACATCTGTGAGATGTTCAGAAGATGAAAGATCTTCTGATGCTTCTCACAGATGTCTTCCCACATACAATATTGCCAAAAAATTGCTTGCCTGCAGTAGCCTGTTCTGTATCCCACATTTATACAATTTATAAATTGTGCAATGGAGAGGAGAGGTATCATTCTAGAACAGGAAGGGAGAGAGGAAAAAAAGAGATGAACTTTAAGAAGATGTCCCTGTGTTTAGAGTGGTGATAGAAGCTACTGTGACGTGGTAATTATATTGCTAAGGAAGCAGTCCTGAATCAGAAATGGTGTTAATTTGGTTCTGAACAAATTCAGCTTCTCAGAAGACCTCAGGAAAAAAAACGAGATGATTTTTTCCCTGCTTCAATCGGATGTTTTCTAGACTATTCCTTTTCATTTTTTTCCACCCACCTTTTCGTATTTCCAATGACAGGACTTCCTTGATTCTCCCCTATTTCCAGTCTTAGGACATTATGGTTTTAGAGGATTCTTTTTGCTTCTAAGTATTTATCTTTCGTAACTTCGTAATTTCAAATCTGCTTATGTGGTCTGTATAGTAGTGTCATATATATGTATCTCCATACTCTTAATGACCTCACTTCCTCTTATGCACATGTCTTTTGGATACTAAAAAAGTGCTCCTGAAGTCCCACCCAGCAGGACAGGGGGAGAAAAAACACAAAACTCATGAGTCAAGGTAGAAGTCGTTTAATAAAGAAAAGCAGAGACCACATGCAGAAGCAGAGGAAACAAGCAAAACATTTCATTCTCTGATTCCCAACAGCAGGTGATAATCAGCCATTTCCTGGGAAGTAGGGCACCAGTCTGCATAGAGGTTGCTTCAAAAGACAAATGCCTCAATAACATATGCCTCCTCCTCCTTTCTCTTAGCTTTTATGGCTGAACACTAAGTCATACGGTATGAATTATCTCTTTGGTCAGTCTGGGTCAGCTGTTCCATCTGTGTCCCCTTCCAGCCTCTTGCCCACCTCCAGCTTAGTGTCCTTTGGGGGCTGTGAAGAGACATCCTTGATGCTGTGGGAGCACTGCTCAGCAGTAACCAAAACATCAATGTGTTATCAGCACCATTCCAGCTACAAATACCAAGAAGCACAGCACTGTGAGGGCTGCTGTGGGGAAAGTTAATTCCATCCCAGCCAGACCCAATACAAAATGATTAACCCTCTTAATACTGAAAATTAAGTAGTCTTACTGATGTACCAGGAAAGGGAAGCTCTAACAAAAAA